AAGGCCCCTTGGTTCCCCATGCTGCTAATCTGGTTAAGTGCATATTGGCTAATTGCAGGTTTTAGCTCGCTGCCAAGCACATCATCTCACTGTCTTTTTGCTCTGGCTACCTGAAGAGTCAGCAGCCACATGAAGCCACACCTCATCTGGGGATGCAGAGAAACCAGTTGCCACCTCCTGCTGTCCACTACAAGTCTGCTGTCATTTGCTTTACCAAAATAGAATGTTTTTCTATAACAGGGAGAGTGAGGTGAAGAACAAAATCAAAAACAAACAAACAAAAACCCCAACTTGTCACCTGAGGACACTCTTCACAAAGTCCCAGAGCAGATGGACACAGGAGAAACAAGAAAAAAAAAAGACTTTGGTTTTTATACAGACATGTCAAAAACAGGGCCACTGAGGTAATTTGCTAACCTAGTGTATGCAAACACACCTCACATTCCTGAGGGTTAGATAGGAACAAAAAGGCCAAAGTCTTCTCCACAGATTTACCACAATTTAGCACAAATAATTTTGAAAACTGAGCCCACCTGCTATGTTTTTACCGAATACCCTGTCTCATGGATGTCAGCAGGTTCCTGTTCAGCTGGAGGCAGACCTGGGCTGCTGCACCCCTAAGTGGGCAAGCAAACTCCATGAGCCTCACCAACGCTGCACCAAGGACCACTGTCACAGAGCAGCACCCAGCTCTAACTGCAGCCCTGCCATGCCCACTCTGCTGCTCAAAGTGCAGGTTCAGTGAAAGGCTACAGGCCCTGATGCTTTGCTTTTAAGTGCTTCAGCGAGCTACTGTACAGAGGGAGGCAGCTGCACAACGTCAAAGCTGCACAGAAAATAAAACGCTTTCCCACGACACCACATTAAAGCCAAGGCAAGGACCTAGAACTGAGTCCCAGTGATGCAGAGTTCATTCCTCAGACTTTAAAATCACTCTGCTCTTACAGAAAGATTAGTTGCATTTTTCCCAAGAGCCCCTTTTTTCTTCTCAATACCATTCATCAGTGCTGAGGCTTCAGGACTGCATTTCTAATTTGAAGGACTCAAAGATTACCAGCAGAGAGAACACACAACCTCAAAACCTGTGAAAGAACAGATATCTTCATGGTAACAGAGATCACCATGGAGATGAAAGATGAAGGTGCAAGGTAGGCATGTTTAGAAGCTCATGTTTTCCCACATCTTCTAACAGGTGGCAGTCACCAAACCGTGTTTGGAATGCTGGACCTGCTAAGCCCCCTCAGTACTCCCTTAGCACAGCACAGATCAGATGGAGGCTGGCCCTGAATGTGTTGGGGTTAAAGGGACACAGAGAAGTAGAGCTCTTTCTTTAAGTCTCATAAACAGCTCAAAAAGTTTTCCTTCAACTCATTTCTGAAAGAGAAAAAGGTGCAATCATTTGGACGGAAAAGTAAAAGTGCTGGCAAATGAGAAGATTTGTTCAGGCTATTAAACATCCACGTAATGAAGGTGATGGAGACTTGAACTGGTGATAGAGGCAAGAGAAATTAGCCCTGCAGCTTGTTTTACCTGCCATCAACTTTGAAGAGGTCCTGAAAAACACCTTCAGCTTCCATCAATTCCTGATAAGTGCTTGGCAAAGCACATACTGCAAGATGGAGGATATCCAGACCCATATGCAGGTAACAGCCTGTCTGAAACAGAGTGATGTAACAGCTTCTTCCTCAGCCTTCTGTACTGGAGGATGTCATGACAAAACAAACACTGAGACAAGACTCAATGAGGAAGGATCCCATTTCCTTGTTAATGACTTTCAATTCAAATCCTCTACAACTGCAGAAATTAGCTGCCTGAGCACTACGGAAAGGAAAAATGGGCACAGGTTGGTAGATTTTTCTTTAAAAGAGCCCCCCCAAAATCCTAGTATTTACAGACCACAATAAATTCATAGAGAAGACTGCACTGGTATATGGATATATTTCCCTTTTCACCTGCACTATGTTAAACAAAACTCTGTGCCTATGGTGGAGAAAAAGTTTGACTATCTGAATTTAAGGTGTATTAAAGGGGTGGTAGGTTTGCTGTTGTGGTTTTTTTGTTTGTTTGTTTGTATCATATATATTGAAGCTCTTGAAATAAAATTTTATAGGATGTAATTCTGCCTTCTTTTCCCTTCACTGAACCTGCTGAGGATGGCAGGGGGAAATATTAGGAATTAGAGGACCAAATCTGACCCCATTGAAATCAAACAGCCAGTGTGCCCAGCCTTGTGGACATTTTGAGAAACAGCTCCTCTTCTGAATCACATTATCCCTGTCAGTCTTGGGTAGAAAATGATTTCCAGTCACTAGTCCACAGCAGACGATAATAACAAATGAAAAATAGCCAAGCAATGGTTTACACCAGATGCCAGAAATGAAGTATGGTGGAATTCTGTGGGCAGAGTGGGAGAACTGAGGAGGAATGGCTTCATGCCTGCCTGCTCTGAGGCGGTGGCAGCACCCTGGGTACAGCTCATTAAGCAGACAGCTCTTTTTCACTGAGCTGGTAGTTGTGTGTTGAACTTTTTGTACGATGAGTTTGCTCCTAAAAAGAGGCAAATGACTAGTGCATTGAAATGCCATAAATCCCTTGTTGGCAGAGCGTGAAGCAATTAAAGGCTCCATGCAAAATTAGGCCTCCTGACTGCACCCAGAGGCAGGCAGGTAATGGAAACATCAGTACATTTAGAAGAGACTCCGTGAGTGCCAAAAAAAGGAGAATTTGCAGGCAGGGACTGAAACGTCATGCGGAACTACAGGTGGCTGTCAACCTGTCTGTGGACCCCAAGCCACCCGCTCCTCAGGGTCTGCAAAGTAGATCCCACATGGCCTCACCAAGAACAGGGGTGAGAGGCTCAATAGGGTGCTGTATTTTGCTGTTTGTACCCTCTCATATCCTCTCTGCACTCCAGCTGCAACAGTACATTCTTCCCCACATCTTGCTGACTGTCTTGCCCAGTTACACTGCAGGCCTGCTCAGGCTGGAGATCCTTTCTATAGTGTTTTCCTCACAAACAAGGGAAGTTCAGCAGCACACACTGCCTCTACCACACATTTTCCTGCAAGAAAGTCTCAGTATTCAGCCACAGATAAGAAAACATTTCGGTAAAATAGCCAAGTAGGGTCATCCCTTCTTTGCACAGGGGGAAACTGAGGCACTGAACTTAGAAACACAAGTTTTTCAGTCTTGACATTCACTGGTTTCCCATCACTCAGTCCTTAGATACTTTGGATACCACTGTGATAGCTTCAGCTGCTAGGGAAACAAATCTGTTTTCAGACACCTTACTCATGCTGTGTCATTCAATTCCTCATCTGAGTGAGGGCCATTATGTTGGCGGCTTCACCATTATCTTAAAGCAAAGCCAGGACTTCACCATCTTTCCTGAACATAAAATTCCATCACCTTGTTCACAACATTTTCTGAGACTTTAGAGAGGCGTTTTACAGAACATGTTACCTTTCAAGAAATGAGAGGACTAAGAGATGAGTTTCCCACAGAGAATAGCTTTGTGCTCTGCTGTGAGGCATCAAGAGCTGCCACGTATAAATGGGGGAATTTCTTCATGCTGAATTTGATGATTTTGGAGTAGTTACTGAAAGACAGTAGAGGCTTGCGTTGCTTGTATATAGCAGTAGTGATATCAGCATCTAAACAAAGAGATGTCCTTGAAATCTGAGTCTAATGGCAAGCTTAATACTGTGACAGGCTCCACTGGAGGCTCAGGCAGGTTCATTTTTCCTCTCTACAACTGCCAAAGATCTCTGGGTCTGTGGTGCAAACATTGACCATGAAATTGTAATAAACCCAAGGAGTGATTGATTCTGGATGCTCAAGTTTTTTGGTTTTGGGTTTGTTTTGTTGTTTGGGGAGGGTTTTAACCATAGGAAACCATGAGAAGAGATTACAGTTTAGGTCTTAATTAATTCCTAACAGCAAACCTGTAATTAGTTTTAAATGTCAAGGAAAAAAACTTCAGCACACAAACTAAAAGATGGAATAAAGCTTGTTTATGTAGGCTGTTGTCTATGCATTTTTTAAAAGATGCAATAAAAACCTTCACTGGAAATATATTCTTCAATAAAAATACAATTTTTCTCAAAACACATAGATTGGTTGGGATCTTTTATTTTCCACAGAACAGGAAAAAAAGATCAGAACAATTTTCATCCAAACAGTAGTTGAGATGTTCGGAAACATTTGACAAAGCCATGCAAACACCAGAAGGAAACCAGAAAACTCACAAGCCCCCATTTTTACTTGCTTGCCTTGTTAAGTTTCCACTAAAATATATATATTTTTGGGGTAGTGCTTTTGTTGTAAACTTGAATTTTTAAAAGTTTCCTAGAAAAGCTACAGCTTCCAAGAGGAAGTTGTCAGCCAATTTTTTTCTTAAAGCAAAGGAATGGCTCACTGTGATCTCAACTGGTCCCAAGAGCTCTGAAAGGGGCACGGTGCACACAAGAATTGCACACACTCCTGCAATCTAGATTGACACAGCATTCAAAGCCTTGCCTGGGGCAGACCAAAATGTGGCACCCTCCTCATGCTGGCCAAAAACCCAGCTGCTGTCATTTCAGCATCTGAGTGGCCTTCACAGTGTGAAGAGACATGCAGCAGACTGTTTCTTTGAGGATCAGTGCCACTGGCTACAGGTTGCTGTTTCAGAAGTGTCAGAATTTTGTGTACCAGCCCTTAGACATAAAACGTATCTGCTACAGAGCCATCAGTGCATCACCACAGGAGACAGGGAAGGAGCTAGCATACATTGAATCCAGTTTTCATGTGCATTTTGCTAGGAATAACAAAGCCTATTATAATCCTGCATTTACATCTTTAAATTTATTTTTGAAACTGTGACTCAAATGCTAACAGGTAAAATCTACTCCCATGCATCTAGCCAAGGAGTCTAAGTTTGTTTTGGTAAAGGGCATTAAGGGCATTAACCACAAAGCAAATAACGCATTTGCTGCGTGAATTACAAGAGGGAGACCTACCTTTGTGATTGTTTTCTGTTTATATGCCTCCATTAGTATCCAGGGAAGTCTAACCTGGGCTGGGGTACATGGCATGGTCAAGTCCTCAGGTTTCAGCACTTCTCCAGCCATCCATCAGCCTGCAACTTCTCAGCAGTTCAGTCCCGAGGCATTAAGCTGTCACAGCTCACTATGAAATTAGACTTGATGACACCTAAGTAGATTCATTAATGCATTAGGCAAATGCTATCTGATTGGTTCCTTTTTTTAGAGGTTTGGCAAGCAGCGTGCAAACAAACCTGGAGAATGATGCTCCCAGGGGAGGGCAGGCAGCTTGCCAGTCTTCTTTCTTAAACAGAGGTAAGAAAGTGTCAGCCCCACAAAGCTGCACTAGAAGAATTCACAACCTACTGCTTGCCTCAAGACAGCAAAACACAGAAGGTGACATCAGTTGCTTCTGTCTTCTGGAGGGGTGATGCAGTTCCCATACATGTCACAGCACACACAGCATTTCAACTGTAAAGGCAACATGGCACTAATCATGACCAAAACAAATCCCAAGGGACTACCTGTCCCTGGCATGGGGACTGAAAGACAAACCACCTCTAGGTTAATCTTCAGGACCATCCAGGGGATATTCTCACCATCCTTAACCACGTGGCTGCTGGCTATGCAGCTGCACTGACTTACCTTGTTCACTGCTTCTCCAGTCCAATAACACAGCCCAAAAAAACTAACCCAAACCAAACAGTGCAGAGGGAGGCAGGTGCTTGTGTCAGGTACACACCTTCACTGTTAATTCTGTCACTTATCAGCTGCCACAGGTGGTGAGACTCAAAGTTTATCTGTCCTTCCCAGAGACTCTCACTTCATTCCTGATAAATATAGCTACTGGGCCTGTAATTTGGTAGAGTTACAGTTTTGCAGGACACTTGAATACATTTTGATTGGCACATACTTGACTTGTGCAGGCAGCTTGCCTTGTAGTACTTTCACCTCAGACTATGATCTCATTAGACTTCACAAATTAAGCAGAACCAGGCCGGAAAGATACTTGGAGGAGAATTATGAAGTGTAATGGGACACAGGACATGCAATTCCAAAAAAACCTACAGTTCTAGGAGAGATGTGAAAGCTTGGTAGGACATCTTGTGTATGGCTGCAAAATGTGCCTTCTTTGGTCAGGGATAAACCAGTAAAATCCACACAAGTATGGTCTGTGCATTAAGTACACTCATACTTAAGTCTAGGAATATTATCCATGTAGCTGTTTGTGTTCATTTTGTTTAAAAAAGCCTTTTGCTTCTCTCCACACCTATTTAATTCTACCACTGAATATTTAAAGAGACAAGATGCTTTCCAAAAATTTTAACTTAGCTGGTGGTTCAGGTAATGGCTGGTAAAGCTCTGGAGTTTTAAAGCAAAACGGTATCTATTGACACAATTTCCTTTGTTTAGAAAAACAAGCCTTGGTTAAATGTTTGTGAATAAATTAGCTGACAAATATAGCTCATTTGTCTATCTACAAACCAATACTGACTTTTGTGCAGAAACTGATTATTAGCAAATATTTTCCAAATAGATCACAGAAGCAACATTCAGCTGAGTAATTATTCTTGGAACAATTTGCCACACTGCTGCCTCTGCTCTCGTGGTACATGAGCAAGTGGGTGCCCAGGCCATATGGCATTGTTTCTGCTTCCTAAGTAACTGAAGCCGGTAAAAAAAGCAGAAACAAAATTAACCCTAAATTACAGCTGCTTTTCAGTTTGAATTTTGAGCTATCAATTAGACGTACTGCAGTTCTTGAATTTTTGCAATTTCTGAACATTTCACTGAGCAAACAAGTAGCTAGGCACATAACCTCCTGCAATGACAACCACAACACAGCTTTTCCCAGAAGATACCACGTGATCCTGCATTTTATTCACAAAATAAAAACCAACCTTTCTTAGATCCATTCAGTCTGCTCTACCAGTTTCTTATCACAGGACTCTTAGTGAGCCTGCAGGTCTGGACAAAGCAGTCATTTACTGCAAAAAGGAAGTATACCTACATCAAAATAAAGTTTTTCTGAGTGTGTGCTGCTACAGATGTTCAGAGGCTCTGCAGCTACTTGGATTACACTGGAGAAGGCTTTTCTGTTTCCTGTGCTCCCAGTGTCCAGAAGGACACGAGACCACACAGTTCCACAGCCGCAAGTCCCTGCGAGTTTCCCCTGGCACCCAGTCCACCTTCTGCTACCTCCACAGGGAAACTCTTCCACACACAAACCCCAAATGCCTGTATACCTCGGCAGTAGAGTTGAAGGATACATTGATGCCTGCCCATTCATTAGCAGCCAAGTCCTTGTTTCACTCAGCTGAAGCATTGCACTTGCCTCTCCTGAAGAATGAACGAGGAAGAAGAGGAACCAGACAAGCAGGGGTTTGCCTGCTTGTCATCAAACCCTTCCAACATATCTAACATGCCAGCAGTCTCTTGACCAAAAACTGCAAAACCTCCAGAATCTTGCACAGCACTTTAACAGTTAAATATATTTCAGTGCAAAACCCCCATCTCCTCTTTCCAAGTAGGAGTTGATGTCTTACCCTGTTTCACATCTGGCATCACTTCATTATTTTTTCTTCAAGCTGTGTAATTAAGAGCTTATATAAAGTTGATTTAAAGAGAGTCTGCACTCTGGATGACTCCACTTGAGAGCGAGGTAACAGTGCCTTGACAGGTCAGGGCTGGGTTCATTTGCTCTTCCTCGAATAGTTGAGTTTCAAGGAGGGGTTCCTAGGAAGTGATCAGAGGTGTGACAGGAAATCATTGACAGGAAACCTCTTGGGGATCTTCAGTGCTTGTCTAAGTCATCAATTTCCTAACAGCTCACATCAAGCACTCTGAAGCAGAGATCAGGGCTGGGTTTATGCCCTCCACTGGGATGAAATATCATTATCTGCCCCTGGCAGGGCTCTCATGCTTTGGCCCAGGACTGCCCAAGGACTGAGAACAGGAGAGGTGGCCTGAGCCCCATCCCACCTGTCAATTCCCACATTCCTGATTCAGCACATCTCGTCTCTCACGTCTGTGACACAAGCCAGTTAAATTATCTGCAGCTTCATCCCTCTTGCAAACCTCTGCCTGCCTTTCAGCTACCTGAGTGCACAGCCCCCTGCAGGCACAGTAGCTGATTATAAATACCTGCTCAGGCTCCACGTACAGTGCTGGCAGCTGAAGTCACAGCTCCACAACCAGGTCCACACTCCACAGGCAGAGCTGGGTGGCACAGCAGGGCCTCTGCGAGGAGAGGTCAGGGCTTCCTGTGACAGTCAGGGCAGGTCAGGGCCAGTCCTCCACAGCCCCCGTGGTAACTGGGACGTGATCTCTCTGTCCTTATCTCAGCCCATGAGCTTTTTTCCATCTTATTTTCTCCCCTGCTGTCCCATTGATGAGGAGGTGCAAGAGATCAGCTGGGTGGGCAGCCTGTAGATGGCCAAGGTCAACCCACCACAGGTGACATTGCTCCACTGGCACTGTAGTGACAAGAGGAGACTAAAAACTCAGCATCTCCATGTAAGCTTTCCAAAAGAAACATGGGGGGGACCAGACTCCACACAGCCCACTCTGATTGCTGCAAGATAGCTCAGACACAAAGGCAAGAAAGAGACACCAGTGTAAAATACTGTGATAACTCCTAGAGGCCCCATTTGGCAGGGTCTGGAAAACAAGGGAAGATAGCTGCAGTTGTCTTAAGACTTCTCATTGCTTGCAGCTGTATTCATATTTCTAAAGGGAAAATATGGGGCTGCACTTGAGTTCTTCCCTTGAGGCACACATCAGAGTTCAAACTTGCATGGCAGCTCATTTTTGTCTCCCCACCATCTTTAATGAGCAAGGATTTCCTACACGTGCACGCACCTCCCTTCTGCTCTGTCAGCCTTTCCACTCTTCACATACTGAGCTGGAATTGTTCCCCGTGAAATCATACTTTAAAACCTTTTGGAGAACAGAAATGCAGGATGCCACAGTTCAGACAGCTGGAGCAAAGGAGACCCTCCAAAATGTCTCCTCTCGTCAGCATACAAAACAGCATTAAAGGCTTTTTTTTTTTCAAACGGAGCTGTTTATTTGGCCCTGGCAAGTGATGGGCAATAACCAAAGGAAGGTCTGACAAATAGAGGGATGCTGAGAGGAATAAGAGCTTGGCTCTCTTGGGAAGTGCTTTTTGAAGCCAAGGAAACTAAAAGTGCACCCAAAAAAAAAAAAAAAAAAAAATCGATGAAAGCTGAGATTCCGCGCACACCAGCAAAGCTTCAGGCACCAGAGAAACACACTGTGCAAATTAATTGGGAAACACAGACCATGCTTATTTAACTCCCATGTCTACAGATATCTTCGCACAAGGACTGGATGGCAACCTTTACGGTCCCTGAGTGCACTTAAATTCTGCGTGTTTCCAGAAGTGCTATCTCTGCCTTACTTGAAAAGTGGTCATGATGGTCTGTAATTTTTTTTCTACCATTCCAACATTTTAAGAACATTGCAAGAGCCTTTCCCAGAGAGAAGACAGACTGATGCAGTGCGAGACAAAGGGCCAAAGGTCACGTTCAAAGGCCTGGGGACAGGACCAGGCAGCACAAACAGGGCGAGAGTACTACAGTGGTTTTGTGTTCACTGCATTTCCTCCACCATTTTCCAAAGCAATCAACAGCTTGGAGCTGCGACCTGAAAGACAAGAAGAAAAACCTGCCTTGATGGTCATTTTTATTCCAACACGAAAAAAATATATTCCCCCTTTGGAGGGTATTTTATGTGTTTTATTGCCTGGCCAAACAACAGAAGCAATCCAGTTTTTGGTCACCTTTTCAAAACAGTTTGGGGATTACAGCACTGTTATCACTATATCCATTTTTAAATGCTGAACTATGACTAGTCCCAGGAACATCACTGCTTCCCAGAGCAGTTACGAACAACATGAAGAACTGAGAGCACCTCACATCTGATGAGTGGCTCTGGAGCAGGATTTCACTGGCACTGCTGCCCACTGTACTATCTCTCAGCAGCTCCCACTGCCAGGACTGAGAAGAAAGTTTGAAGTTTGAATTTAAGACGGATGAATTCAATGGACTTGAATTCAAAAAAGAAAACGACAGAAAACCACATCAAAAACAAAAAATGACATAATTAGCAGTTGTTTTGTGAGTACCTAAAGGAGATAAAATGAAAATATTAAAGGCAGTTTAAAAACATACAATTCTAAAGAAAAAGTCAGCAATTCTGTTAGAATACTAAAATAAAATGCTTCAACCTCTCCCCAATAAAAACAGACAAAAACCTTCAATATTTCTTCAGTTTTTCTGTCCCTTATC